TTTTGATTGTAAACACTTGTGAAGACAAGGTCTATTGTTAAAGAACACAAATGACTGGATATAGAATTTTTTTCTTTCAGAGGCCCTTGCACCACAATTTATTTCCATCTCCAGGTAAGGTTGTTAGCTGCACGGAAATTTTCCTTTGACATTCAGAAGTACCAGCCTCAAAAAATGAGAATTGTGTGAAGAGAAAAAGGGAGGTAGAATTCCACTGCTTTATGCAATTAAAAAAAAAAAGCAGTTAACTGAAAGTACTCTGAGAGTTTTGTATTGTTTTAAACCGAATGAATACATTCTTTGCTTCACATACACAAAAGTTCACCCTACAGCCATGCCATTCTATAGTAACTCTTTGCTATTACTTCCTCCCACTGTGGCTCCCTTTCACAACACTGAAAACCAGGAATGCATGAGAATATTAGATAATGTTTTCTTACTTATTTCATCACTTTCTGAATCAGTTCATGATTCCTTTTTAAAACAAAAATGCAACAAAAAGGGGAATGTTGGACCAAGAGAACCAATGTGAAGACACTAAATAAAAGGAAAGTACCCTTACCCAAACTTCTCCAAACTCTGCTGCAGTGTATAACGCCCTGGCCTGAACAGGTTTCATACCAAACAACAGCAAACATTATTCGTAAACAACTTCAAGGATAGTGAACTATTGCTCCCAGTGCACAACTGAGAATATGGATTCTACTAATTAACTATTCTACGAGGCTTTTTGGTAATTTCTCAACACTGAAGCCTGAAATTTTGCTTATTTTAAAACTACTATGTTTGCACCTACGATACATTTAATAGGCCAGGAAAGATCTCTGTTTAAAAATAAGCTTATCATTTCAGTAGAAAGGTGAAAGAAAATATCCTAATAAGCAGCCAAGGATTGGCAGACAGGAAACACGAAATTTAAGCCTGGTTCTGGAAAACCTTTTTATTGAATTGGTCCAAACATCTGACAAAAGATGAAGCTTTACACTCCTGAGAGTTCTCAATGTGGGTACCTCGTAACAGGATTTCAATCCTTTCAAACAGAAGTGACTTATTTTCCAGCATACCTTTTCACACCCATGTAAAATGTGTCAAGTTCAAAGTAGTTCTGTAACACTGAAAACTGGAGTACAATTAATATAATTAAAATATTTGAGCTTAAGCTTTTTTCTTTTTTGGTGTGTGTACTTGCTTGGTTGTTTTTTTTTAAAAAGAAACCTGGAAATAACAAGAATATATTTTGCTAATTTCTGCAGTCATTTTCTCAATGGGAAAAGAATAAGTGTGCATCTTCTATTCCTCAGGTCAAGTCAGTTTAACCAGGGTGCTGGAGACTGAATTTTTGCAGGCTGTTTCAAACAGCACACATAAGCAAACTGTTGTATTTCAAGTGTACTTTCACTTTTGTTGTTGTTGTGGAAAACATTTGGGATAGGGTTTTTTTTGTTTTTGCTTGTAAGTAAAACTTTCTGCCAAGTCTTTTGACCTTGCTTTCTTTCTTTTTCTTTTCTTTTTTTTTTTCAGTGAGCCATTATACTCCCCCACATGCACCTCACAAATTCCTTATCAAGTGATGTTGCATTTTTCTCTTTCCACTGCGGTTCCCTTATTGTACTTAAAAGTACAACGATACCAGACATACAAGGTAAAAACTGAGTTGGTGACAGAGCTCAAGGGGAGATGTAGGACTTGACTGGAGGTGGAATTCTGGGGAATGCATTTCATTGTAAGAAGGCTGTCCTGCCTAATCTAGATAGGAAAAGCATCCTCTTTCTAAGTAGTTCTCTCCTGGGCTATTCCAAAGTAAGTTTTCGTGGACTACTAGTTTGGAGGAAGTGTTCTTTAGCCTCTGTTCTTGCATGTGAGCCTCCAAAAAGACCACCTTGAAAGTACAGAAGTACATCTGTGGGGATGTTCAAAAGAATACACAGTCCTCTTGTTAGCTTTTTCTTTCAAAAACGTTAAGATTTCCTGTGCAATAAACATAGCCATATATTAAACTTTGCATTCCATTCTCAAACATATGCACTACATAAAACTTCAAAACATTGGCACAAATTTGAGAGTTTTGAATCATAACAATAAAAATTATAACCTCTGAACACACCGAAACTAAGCAAACACTCAAGAAAAAAAAGCATCTTTTTTTACCAGTCTCTGTTTTTCAGCTTGAGTAAATAGTTTTTCATAATTTGCAGTCTAAACTTAATCAGATTTGGTACTGAAAATGGAACACCAAAATATAAGAAGGCTGAAGGAAACATTATTATTGAATTAATTTTGCATTTACCCATGCAATCAGTTTTGTTTTATGATCGATCAAGGAAGCGTACCACACTATTTCTTATATTGTAGTCTATTTGATTCCCACTACGTATGCTCTTACAGTAAAAAGTTATCCTTTGTTGAAGAATATAAATTGAACAAATACTTTCTAAAAACAGCATATATATAGTTCTGTAGGCTTTACCAGAGGTGTATAATTTTTCAGCATTACATCTTAATGCCAATTTCCTGAAGGAGCTTTGACTACAAAAGGCATGAATATGTTTTCAAAGGATGATGGATAAATTGGTGGGTGGTAATATAATATATCTTAGGCAGCTGATCAGGGCTTTTTATCCACTGCTTGTCTTTTAGTTACACACAATTTCAAGATAATTATGGTCTATGAGAATGTCTTTTCCTCTTCCTACTACCAGCAATATTTGTCTTGGTTATAGGTTCAAGAAACTTCCAATCACATCATAAAATTAGAATAGGGCAATTATGGCATCTCAGCAGAGATCTATAGATAGGGTGACCACACAATAAAGACTTAAGGCACGTAAAGAATTGTCTTCATGTACAATGGCTGGAATACTGTAGAATATACTGAATCCATACTTCAGTTTTATAAAATAAAAAACAAGCACAAACAGGTTGACACGTATCAGAATCAATGTTGCCTTTCCAGCATATAGTCCATTCAGACATTGAAAATAAATTAATTGCTAACCTTATTAAATAAAACGCAATCTTATTCTTAGCGGTCAGATACGTTGTCTCAAAAGTCTGACTTCATTTTTCTGCCAGGAGAGGACTTGAAGCACCTGAAGGTCCTCTCTTTTAAAGGTCGAGTAAAGCAGTTTGCTTGTATGATTTGGACACCTAACTGTGGCCAATGCCAGTGTCAGACCAACTCTGCCAGGTGATGTCTTTTAAGATAATACATCCTCGCTTTTCAAGAAGTACCTCAGCTTGCCAACTGTGAAAGCACATAATTTTCTAGCTTGAAGCATATTACAGGGTTACTTCACCGAAACAATTTCAAGACAGCAACATAAATCAGAGAAATCAACTCTATTGCACGTTGTCTATTAAGTAAATGAAGTATTGAACAGTTGAGGTAAAAGTAGAAAAGCACAGGCAAGAAAACAGCTGGATATGTAAAAAGACAAATGGAGGAAGAAGACAAGACAAAATTGTTTTACAAATGGAGGAGGAAGACAAGACAAAATTGTTTTCTTCTACTTTCCTGCAGTAACATTGTCCACCTTTTCAGAATTAGTAACACCACCACAGAGGAAGGTAGTTGCCATTACCTAGTGGCTATCCCTAAAAGTAAGAAGGAAAGCATTCCAAAATCAGACAGCAGAGCTCAGTGAACAACATCAGACTGACTGACCAGAACTTCAAGCTGGTACAAAGATGGAAGTACTAACAGCGCCTGTTAGCAAGCAACAGCTGAACGAACAGGAATCATGAAAATTATGACAAGCTATAAACAATTTGTTTGAAGGTGAATAAAGAATGATGAAATCCACATTAGGTGGTTAATGTTAAGACATTTGAATACAATGCACTAAATTTATTACATTTGATAATTTGATTTTAATGGGAAAAAAACCAAATGCAATGAGGTCCATCAGTCAGTGATTTTATTAACACTTATGTAAGCACAGACATTAGTAAAAATATGATATTTATTATGTAATTCATAATTCACAATAAAATTCTAACGTATTTGTTTAGATTATACTATAAAATAAAAGATTACATGAGAAAAATTTAATTTCTAAATCAAACCTTTTTTAGGATGAAGATGGTTGAAAAAAAGAGCTAAGATTTTTCTAACTACAAGCATATCATTTCACTAGGAATACACATTTTCATGAATACTGGAGATAATACTGAGCAGATGAGGCACAATCTACGATCACCAGGTAGTGAAAATGAAAAGCAATCATCTTGACCAGAAATAGTCTCTGAATACTCTTAAAGAAAATGCCAGGCTACACTTGATGCAGAAGTAATCAGCAAATTATACATTACTTGTGTTATCAGAAAAAAAGAAGCATTAGAAAGATATAAAATATTTAATGAAGTGTTCTGAGAGTACCCCCATACTTCTGTATGTTTTATAGCGTCAATGAGGGCTGTTTCCCTATAGTGGAAAGTATCAGTGTGTGATTAGAAGCTCATCGAATTCTGAAAGGAACCTTTCTACACAACCTGATTAAAGATGACCATATCTCCTGGTATAAAAAAGCCAGTCAGAACGAAAAGTCTGAATAAAGGAGGTTTTACTTTAAGATGTTAAATGCTATTCTTCTTTTTTATAGGAAACTGCAAAACATACCTGTGCAAATTGTATGCTGCTTCTCTCCCTCCCCAGTATATTAGAAGTTGCTCCACTACTCTGTGTTCTTAGATTGTGGACAGCAGTTGGGTTTATTCAAGATATTCAATTTAGCCAGCTCGTTGGTCTGGGTTTTCTCCAAAATCAAAATGAAGGATAAGTAGCTTCTAGACTGATCCTCAGGAAGATCTCATTCCATTTTTTTTTTGCAGAAGCAGGCTAGCAAGTTAAATTTAATTCCCAAATCTGGCTAGTGCAAATACTTCCGTACTTCCCCATATTCTTGTGGATCACCAACATGAATTCACTTGTTACTATATAAATTTTACTTAAATTCATCAAGAAATTAGAACTTCACTAGCTAAAAGCTACGAGTCTTTACCTTTAAGATGTTGGCTGGAGGGTCCTGAGCAGAAGCAACAAACAAGTCATGTCCACAGACAACTCCCTCTGCGAGAAAATATTTCAACAGCAGACTGGAGTAAACCCCATATTTATCTTCCTCTGTGGAAACAAGAATGTTTGTAAATAAAAAATTCCAACCAAACAACCAAAACAAACAAACAGCAAAATAAAAACACCCGCCTGTATTTTCATGACATTATAAAAAGCCCATGTAATGTAGATGTGACATAATAAGTACAGTATGAATAGAAAGTTTTAAAAGTAACATTTGATAATGGTGTATTCCTAATCTTCCAGGAGAAATAGTTCTTGCCCACATGGCTGAATCTAGAAATGGATGACAGGGAACAAGGCTGGAGTAGTTAAGGATAATTTTTTCTTCAAATTTTATTTGAAATGCTGAAAAGTTGAACTGCAAGAATGACGTGCCAGGGAACAGGATATAAACCTTTTCACTGACTTACCCTTAATTTATTCTGTTGACTGATAGATTTATTTGTAGTGTAACGGGACTAAATAAGGTTTTACACTGACACACCCTTCTAAACCATGCTTTGCAAATCAATGAGAAATTTTCAATTTATCAAATGAAAAACATTTCCATTTGGTGTGACAGAACATCACTTCAGCATTAGCTTTTCCTTTTGTCTTCTTACTGTGATTTTCATAACAGTAAACTTAAGAGGAAAAGCAGGAAAATAAATAGTGGGGAGTGATCTAAATATAAAACACCTTATGGTCTGCTACAGTACTCAAAGGATTAAGTGTGTCTCAGAGAGCCTTTACAAACAGTGTATCTTGAATTGTTAAAGTCAATGCATCTGTAAGAATCCCTCAGTTCTTCAATTTGTCACATAGAGGATGGCTTTTTATTGATTCATTTCTAGGTCACTAAACTTTTGTGGTATTCAAAAGATCTAAAGTGCACCCATATGGGGCTTTTCTGATAGCATCCATTGTGCCCTGGCTTCAATAGTTATGTTACTATTCAAAACCATAGGGGTACAGCTTTCTTTTTCTAAATAAACAAACAAACCAGTTAGCACAGGTATTTCAGAAGCTCGCTGATTATTTTGCTGATAATTTTGGTGAAATATTTACAAGTGTTTTTCTTTGCTGATAACTTTTGGACTTACTATTTGATGGCTAGGATACATTCTCAACAGTTACTTTTATTCTTCCAAAGCTGCACTAAAAGGACCATCTCCATTCTGTACATTTGGAACCAACCAACACTTAAGTGTGTTTCAGTCAGCCAAGAAACTTAAGAAAAGCCCAAATCTTTATTCTTAGCCTCCCTACTAAAGAGCTGTCCCACCAGCAGCCTTCATTGTGAAGTTCACTCTCTAGCTAATAAGGCGCATAGACAAATGAGACTCGTGCAGCTGCAGTCTCTTTTCTGGGCCCAGTCACCACAAGTCACACAACAGTCCATGGCCTTCTCTGATTCTTTTTGAACAAAGAGTATTCTGCAGCTAAGTAGCAGGTGAGTAACTAGTGAAGCGTGAAACTATACAAGGGAAAGAGATTATTTACCTACAAGTTATGCATATTGTCTACAGGACAAAACCTCTTCTGATCTCACAGATAAGAACACAAAATAGTTTATTGTGACCATTATGCAGTGGTCTTTTACCACAACAACTTGCTTTCATGGCCAAAACAGACGTCAAGAAAAAGCTGTACTGTCAGTACACTGTGAATTCCAGCATATAACCATGTTGAAAATAAAGGAGAAAAACCAATTCCTATTTATGGATCTTCTCACCCCTATGCTGCACAGGTTACTGAACACTTTAGAGACATTCTGAACATCTTTGTGCACGGACTGCCTTGTACTACTCAGAGGGATCAGCAGTGGAATTAGATACAAAATTTTAAGGCATGGAGCTTAGCGAGAGCACAGAAAACAAAGACAGAAGGTATGAGAGAGGAAATGCAACTAAAATCTCACATAATGATGGAAATTTTATGTCTATATATGAGGCATTACTAACAAAAAAGTCTCCAGCCCCAAGCAATCCCCCTGCATCAGAAGTATTCCTCTTCCAAGATGGGATTGAGGAGAAGCACCAACACTTGGAAAGCAACAAAGAGCCAGGAACAAAATTGACCGTAAGACAACACAGTATAAATTCCATTTATAACAACTAAATGTCTGCATATTGAATGGCATGAAGGTCTTTGAAAAACTCCAGAGATCATTTGTACCTTAATTACTTCAGACGATGAGAGCTATAAGAGGAAAAAAATAAGACTGCAGCATCGTAATGTACAGATAGCTTTTTTTTAATCTGCTGCACAAAGGCAGACAGGTTGCCCTGGAGCTGCCAGAAGCCTGTCATAGCCTATCAGTATTGATCATTTTTTCCCCAGATAGCTGTACGGCACGGTGCTGTGACCTAAGGTGAGTCTTTGTGAAGCGATGAAACATTTTTCCAAATCGCTGCAGGTTATAAGATGTGATCATTTTAATCACCCAAAATTCCATTTAAAAGATACTTTACTAATGTCCACATTTACGAAGCTTGAGGGGATATGCTCTGTGTCACTTGCATTTAATTAGCACATGCCAAAAGTGAGTTGTCAAACATCCAAGTCATATATTTGGCATACTTCAGAAAGGTAAATTCTGATAACTCGTATTTTGTATAATTATATTTAGCAAATCACTGTTTTGTACTTCTCTGGAGATTACCTTTTTCAATTTTAAAAAGATGATAAGTTCAGTTCCACTGACAAGTGAGGAGGGCTCTTACCAGCGAGGCTGAATAGCACATCTAACAAAAATAAGAGTAGCTAATTAAAGTAGCTGAAACTGCTTCGAGGCCTAGACTGAACAGGTACAGACCTGCTTTTAACTAAACAACGTTAACTTTTTATAATTGACCTCAGCTACCAACAAAAACCCTCCCACTGATCATCTTTAAAACATTTAACCATCAATGACCTTGTCAAGGCTACAGCATTTTAAAGGTATGTAGGAAGGGGGTCTTACAGAGTACCCAGGGCAGACCCGCACTCCTTCACTATACAGTTTGTTTGTTATACCAACAAGGCTTATGCTTATAAAAAGAAAACAACTTTGTTCAGGGTAACATACAACAGGTCTGAGTTGCTCAGGCAGTGGGAGGAAAGCAGTGTGCTCCATGAGCAGCAGTACTATTTGTTTTGGTATGAAAGGAGACACTTCTGGAAAGCAAATCCAGAGCACTTAAAGGCAAGACGGCAAACAAGTGGTTGCACAGTCGTATGAAACAACTTGATAGTGTTCAAATTTCATTTCACCCAGGAGTTGGGATGGCTGTTTTACCACTTTTTATAAATCCATGTACAGTAACACCTCTGGAAATTAAAGCATCAGTTAAAAACAACAGCTCGCTACATCACTGTATAAAACAAATAAACAGGAAGTTTCTGGCTCCTCCACAATCTTGAGTAAGACAACCATGTACTCTCTAATTTTCTTATAAATAAAAGACTGTCAAAAGAACATACTGTAGAATTAAGTCCAACTGGAAATCATGATGCTCGCTATTATGATTTAAATTTAAGAAAATTGAGCACTTAATTCAAACAATATTTTAGTCTTATCAAGTAACCTGTGCCATTACTACGTCTCCAGAATACAACAGATAAAATAAATATTTTAATATCCTGAATCTACTATTATTTGGTTAAATTAACCAAGATAATGTGTCAAATAATGAAGATGAGCATTTAATTTGCAAGGGAAGCTAAGCTAAAAGTAATGCAATTTTTTCTCGCCTTAGAGAATGTTGAAGGGAAGGAGAAGAATTTAACCTTTTAATAACACTCGGAGTACAACGCACAAGGATCTTCCTAGGAGGTTTATCACTGACAGCTTCAATCCTGTATAATATTAAGCTTGCCTAGACTAATCTCATGACAGATTTTTTTTTGTATATTGACAGGATATTCTAACAATGCAGTTACAATTCTACCTGCACCATCTTTAAAAATTAGTCTAAAAGTTTTTAGACTAATGAGTCATGAATAAATATAGTTCTCCCTTCAAGGCTTTTGGTATATAATTATATGTTTCAAAATAATATATGGAAAGTTTTATTTGGGAAAAAAAAAATAGTTTTCAAAGCTTAAAGAGAAACTCTCCTTCGTGTTTAAGTTTGCTAACATCACAAATACACAGCAATGCACTCAGAGGGAAAAAAATCCAGGCAAGAATCCTGTCATTTTCAAATCACCGTGTCTCATCATCTTTTTCATTAGAACAAAAAACCTCATTCTCTTTTGTATTCGTTTCATTTGGAGCCATTTAGATGAGATCAAATGGATACCTAACCCCACGCTCAAGAGTAGCCAAAGGCAGATATAGAAGAGGTAGTAACTGAACAAGCAAATGTGATGCTTCAACCAGGCACTTACTCAGCCTCCCACTGTGGTTCAAGGACTTCCTAAGCTGAACTTGGTATCTGTGCACTTAGTAAGCTTTCTCCTCCACACAGTTGCTTAACTTCCCACTGAGACCATGATTATTTTAATGTTCACAACACACAATGGTGAGGTATTTCACCTTTTAATTGCATACTGTGTGAAGAACCATCACCTTATTTTGTTTGATGCTATGGCCAATAGGTCCATTTGAGACCACCCAGTTCCTCTAGCGGCAGGGACAGTAAATATTATAATGGGAAAACAAAACAAAATGTTCCATAATCTGTGATTTCAGAAAAATACGACAGGTTCTAACTTCTTCTTCTCTTTTATTGATTGCAAGACTGCAGCTCTTCTCAAGCTGTGTAAGAAAAGTAAGATCTACACTGACAGCAGTAAGACATAAAACTTCGATCACTGCTTCTGGGTTCAGAGAAACGTGGATAACATTTCATGAGAAAAATAAACTCAACTGGTATTCTCTGTGCCAAGAAAGGCCAAACACTCTCTCTTCTGCCAGGCTGGATGGGGCTGTGTGCAACCTGCTCTAGTGGGCAGTGTCCTCCCTATAGCAGGGGGGTTGGAACTAGATGATCTTAAAGACCCCTTCCAACCCAAACAATTCTATGATTCTAGTCCTGACTTTGCAATCCTTCTCTCCCTCCTCGTGCTGGCTCAGGTACACATCTCATACTTTAGTTAGCCAACTCAGGTCACTAAGCCAAGAGAAAAGTCTCTGCTTTTCTGCAGCTGTGTTGGTTTTCTTCCACCTTAGGAGCTGAATCAGCTCAGCAAGAACTGAAAAGCACTAGTTGCAGCCCAGGGAACAACAAGATGGCATGGCCAAGAACAGGGAGAGGAATTTGGACAACTTCTTTTGGCAACAGTGAACTGCTGTACCAATTCAGCATTCTCAAAAAATTTAAATGGCTACCACTAAACAGATGATGGCCTACAAGAAATTAAGTAATGTCAGTGATTTTTTCTGGCAGGCAACTGTTCAAATTACTTAGATGTCTACCACAATATACAAAAGTTTATAGGGTTTTATTTAAAGATTGAGATTTTCTAAGATACACTACAATAGCAACCTGTCTTTAAACAGCTACCAATGATAGATAAATGTGGAACTAGGAATTAGAATTAATGTAACAAGCCATAATTAGAGAAATGATCTTGCTTGCTGGGAAACTGAAAATGCTGTTCAGCTTCTAGTGGAGGGTCACATAAGCCTTACACAGTTAACTTGTCACAGAAAGCAAACTGAATATAAAGCTCCATATATGATGAAGAGCATAATTTCTATGTAGGTTATGTGCTTCTAGAAGCACGACCCAGTCAACCATTATTTTTCCGCCTCGACCTTTAACCAAATCTTCTATGTTTGCCGTCAAGTTGTAGAGCACAAGTCCAATGTTGCAAAAAAATGATGTTTCAGAATAAATGGCAGCAGGTCACTAACTTTACATAGTTCTGACTGTTACACTTTAGTTGAGGAACCTGGGAAGTGTTTCTTGGCTCTACATTCCCATACTTACCCTGAGGGAATGAAGACAGGATATATGCATACAACTGTCCTTTTATCCTTTGATACACCTTGACCTAAGCAGAAAGGAAATCTGGGCATCACAGCTACAATGTAGACATGCAACAGTTTTGACGTAGTCTGCAAAGGGAAATTCCTTGAAACCTGTTTAATCGTCTCAGTTTGTCTTATTCCCTTTCTGACAGAAAGCAGGCTCCCACCAGCTTTCTCTTAGCTAATTCTGGCAACCAAATGATTAAAAGATTCTGTATTTCCCATCTTCCTTAACAAGCCAATTTAAAAAGAAAATCCATTTGCTATGATAAGACGTCTGAATCATTTAGAAAACCTTGGATCTTTTCAAACAGGTCCTAGGAAGTTTAGAAATTTTCTAACCATGCTGCTTTTGAACAGAATCCCCCGTGGAAACTCAGACCTGTCTGAAAGCAGGGTTTGGATCCATATCCAGTCACTCTCAAAACAGAGAAAAGTCCACTCTGAAAGCTACCCAAGACAAAACACCTATTCTTAAATTCTCAGCTTAATAAACATTGAAAAGACAGATTATTTAATATATGGAAATGAGCAAAACGGATCGAATATGGCTTTATGTATTCATATATTCTGTACTAACCAATTAGAAGAAGGGTTCCAACAGCTAAGCCTCCACCTGGAAAGAAAACAAAATGAACAATAAAGTAAGACTACATGTTAATACTATGTTAGAGAACAATTAAGTTTTCTTAGTTTATAAGTCAAAGAAAGGTGATAACGGGGAATTTAAAAATATAAAAGTGAACAACATTTTAATTACCTTTGCAATACTTCCTACAATTCTCTATTATGAAATAATTACACATTACATGTAATTATATATTACACATTACAATTACTTTCACAAGATACTGTATTATCATCATCGTCGTAAAAAGATCCTGCAGAGCTCTGCACAACCATACTCAAGTACCACAATAATGATTTATGCTCTCAGCCCGTGGATTTCCCCTTGGATGACTCAAGTAACAAAATACTTTCCAAGCGACACCCGTGCTAATCACCACTCTCACAACTTCCCACTGAAGTCGCCAGGCAAAATCCTGGCTCCAGTAGTTTTTATCATGCTACCACCCACAGACAGTTTCAAAATAAATTTTGACCAATTTATGGTGGAAACTACTTCTTTTTTTCCTCATTGCTTAGATAGTTGCAATCGATGCTCTCGTTCCAATCACAGATGACGGAGTGAACAGTAAAGAGAAATGAATACATCCAACATATTTTGATACAAGGTTTCTTATCCCATCCATCTCAACATAAAAAGAAGATAATCTATGAGCTCTTGCTCTGCTCCTCAAAGAAAACACAGGTACAGTTAAGTAACAGTGATTTAAATGGTTGTCGCAAGAGGGAATTTTAACAGAGAAGGGGAAAGATGAACTCACATTTTGCTTTATCTGACGAGTAAACAATTTTACATTCTGTATTCCAAGAGAGAATATATTGAAATAACTAGAAGGCAGATTACAAATATTTTACCAAAGAAGCACAGGGATGGTCATACATAACCAGTCAACCACTGTGCTTTGTTTGAAGGAAACTGCAGTATGTCTTCTTAATTGCTTCCCGCTCTGAAAGCAAGCTGGGAGCAAACTGAATCGCATCAGCACACCACTCAACTCTTGTGATGCAAGAAGTCAATTCTGGACTCTGAAGATGGACTCTGGTGAACAAAGCAATTCAGTCTATCAATTCAAGCACTCATTAAACTTCACTTGAAAGTGATTCCAGTAGGGATTGGATGAATTTCTTCACCTTCAGCTCTGCTAGCAGCACCCCTGAAGTTGATCTACAGCCAGGAGAAAGAGTAAAGCAAATTTCTCTCCCATAGGCCAAACAGTTGCCAAAGAACTAACTGCTGCAGCCTTTGTTTTGATTGAGAGACAATGGATTCTGCATTCATCACTGATTTACGGGAACTAATTTCTCACTCCTTGATGCCACTAAGTGACTACACTTCTATGGATTCTCTAGTAAAAGCCATCTGATGACTTAGAATGCAGTACAATTATACAGAACATCATCAGAAGGATTTCCAAACGATATACATCCTTTGCCATTTTCACTCTACACCTACTAAGTCCAAAATTAAGTTACACAAGAGTGTCAGCAGGTTGGATGAAAGAATATTTGAACATTTCTAAAGGACTCTTACTTGACAAATACCTGACAAGAAGCAGGCTACCATAATCAATAAAGATAAACGAGGAAGAGTTGTACAGCTGCAGAAAGTTAGATGCTGTGTACAGAACTACACAACTAAAAGGAAATCTCCATGATGTTCAAGGCCAGGTTAGAGATTAGGTCTTTTCATTGTTCTTTTTGAGTAGCAGTACATTGTATTAGAGCAATCTAGCTATTATGCATCAGTAGCATAACAAAAGCTGCTGCCTACTGTAAAAAGTCAAGATTCCGGGCATGACATGAAGAAACCATACCAAGTAGTCATAAAGTACTCAGCCCCAAGCATTGCTCTGTATAGGTCAAGAAAAAGGATATGGCTTATAAATCATGCTGAGTAAATAGCCAAAACAAAGTGCATTTACAAAGTTACAAAGTAGATTGGCATCTCACATAAAACATTCTGGCTGGTAATCTTGTATTTTCTGTGTAAAAAAAAAACCAAAAAACCAAAAAAACAAAAAACCACAAAATAAAACAAAAGAAACTACATCAAATTAACAGGCAAAAGCCAGTGAAAGACCATAAATTGTGAGACACAAGACCATAAAATCAAACAAGTAAAGAGATACTTTTTGCCTGCATTAGTGGGACAGATATGGTCACAGCATGAGTACCATAACCACAACGCTTGTATAAAAGCCACAAAAAGTGCTAATACTGTTCCACTGTAATGCCTGCACCCAAAGCAACAGAATCACTTTGTTCCCTTGTCATGATGCTACAACAGTTTTAACGGCACATCACAGAGCAAACATTTAGTGAACCTTTAATTTCATAGTTGGATCTCAGCATATCAGAAATAATTTAAACCAAGATCACAGAATCATGGCATGGCGTTGGTTGGAAGGAACCTCTAAGCCCATCCGGTTCCAACCCCATGCTGTGGGCTGGGTGCCCCCCACCAGCTAAGGGCCCACCCAGCCTGCCCTTGAGTGCCTCCAGGGATGGGGCACACACAGCCTCTCTGGACAACAAGTGCCTCATTGCCTTCATCGTGAAGAATTTTTCCTGACACCTATGTACAAATTCCTCAATAGTTCTGATAAACTTATCAAGTAAACAAACATGTCTTAGATACCTAAAACAAACAAACACCTAAGCACTACTTATTTGAAAACCAGAACAAAATTCCCATGATCTAATTCACCAATTTTTACAAATCCAGAAGTTCTACTGCAAGAGGAGAGGAAAAAAGTCCCAAACCAGTCATGGTGCAGATGGTTGATACAAAGTATGCTTTACACACCCTCTGCGTTCAGTTCTTCAGGGAGACAGAACGCACGTGGTGCTAACAACAGCTGTTTAAAACTAGCACAGTCTATAAAGCACGTGGAAAGAAACAGCTCAAAATTATGAGATCTTACTAAACCACAGCTTGACATAGAAAAGATCAAAATAGCAAAATAAGCAAAGTTATTACCTCATGGCAATAACGACTTAAAATCCTGGTTATCTAAAGCTCCCCTGTAGCCATCACAGAAGTAGCATCCCTGCTGTTTTTAGATAGTTTGTACAAGAGAGAACATTTGTCAGATAACATGCCACCACAAAGTTCTAGCAAGCTGTCTTTGCAGCTCATCACTTGTGGAATCTCCTACAAGCCAGAGCAATAACACAAGTGCATACATCGTGGATGCAAGGCAAACTCTGGGTAGAAGGCAGGCTGTATGTGGTATGAGACAGCAAAGAGTTTAAAGAAATTTATCTTATCAGACGGAATGTAAAACTATTGCAGCTGCTATGGTTACGCGCTTGTATTTTAATGAGCAATAATAGTAAATTAGGCAAAAAAAACACCGCAGGAAAAAGTTACAGGAACACTGAAATACTCAGAACATTTACAATCTTCAAGTCCCCTTGGAAAACTGCTGCAAACTTGCAATTCTTTCCATTGGTTATTTTAACTTTTCTTTGCCAGTTCCTCAGTCCGTACTGCATGCAGACAGGGAAGCAATTGCAATAACTGCCGCACTGCTACTTACAGCAATGGGATTTAAGGCCTCAAGGACAGAAACACAACAGATGTTGCAACTTGAGAAGCGCTGCCATTGTTTTCAGAAAGTATCTGTGACCTTTCTTAAAGCACCTTGAAACAGAGCATCTAACACCAGACAGGTGATGTTTAAGTCTCACAGTGCTAACAGTGCTGTATCTAGCTTGCAGCTTCTGGACATGAAAAGATATGAAAGAAATGCAGAAACTTAAGACAGCCTGATGGGCACACGACCTCAGAGTTTTCATGACCCAGAATTCAATGACTTAAGGGAGAGGAAGTTAGGGAAAACCATGGGGATGTAGAGTCTTTCTGGTCTTCAGAGATGCCACATGCTAAAACCTTTTAAAAAGTATTTTTTAAAATTTCCATTCCTAGGAATGAAGAATGTTCTTGGTGTTCAAATTTAAAATCTGTTAGGTTGGGAAATTAGTGAATATTTACAAGAGAATGAAGAGGCATTTTAGAAGGGATGCTGGGTTTGCTGGTACAAGTCTCCCCAGCATCCACAAGAAAGCACTCACTATATTGGAAAACACCGTGAGACTTTGGGGCCTGTTATTGAAGGGAACTTCCTACCCATGCTACGCAACAGCTATTTATGACATGAAATAAGAACAACTGAAACACTCAGTGCAAATCTTAGAATCACAGAATGGCTGGGGTTGGAAGAGAACTCAAGGATCATTTAGTTCCACAGGCCCTGATGCAGGGAGGGCTGCCAGGTGTTCGCACAGGCTGCCCAAGGGCCCTGAACTCCTTTGGGGATGGGGCTTGCACAGCTTCTCTGGGCAGCCTGTGCCAGCACGGTTATGTGACTGAAGGGTTCCACACACACTGAATGAAGCAGATCTCTCTTAAAGAGGACAAGCTTACTCCGCAAGGATGCACTGCTTGAGGGAAATGCAGGAGTTCTCTGCAGAATGCAAACAAATAAACACACAGAAGTAAACACAAGCATGCCTGTCCTGTAGACACCCACTTTTCAGTGTCTTTTTTTACAGAACTGCGATTGTATGCACCGCTACTCACACAGACGGTCCTCAGGAAGGAAACACACCGCAATTTCCATGCATTCGTCCAGGTATAAATGAGCAAAGGCCTCCCTCAGCCTCAGCCCCATCCCCGCCGTGTCCCCAGGCGCCACACCCGCAGGGACGCCCACCCGCCCGCCGTGCAGCCCGTTCCCACGTGTGATCACTCTTTCCGAGTAGTTTTTCCCCGCGCCCAACCTGAAATCAGCTCCCACTTAAATACGGCACAGCGCTCTCGCGGCGGATCGCCACCTCAGATCCGAACCGGAGCTCCCACCCCGCGTGACGGGACGCGACGGGCCGTTCCCGCGCTCCCCTCGCCCCGCTCCCCTCAGGCACAGCCCTCCCGGCCGGGGGGGCCCACAGGGCCGGCGGCGCTGGGTCCCGCTCCACCAACCTAGCACACAGTCCAGGGAGGGGACCCCGCAGGAAATCAGCAGCCGCCCGTGACGGAGGGCGGGCCGAGTGCCGGGCACGGCGGCCAGGCGGCTGCCGCCCGAGCGCCGGAAGCTGGTGCCGGTGCCGGCGGTGGTGGCGGTGGTGGCGGCAACCCCTTCGCCCCGCGCCGCCCCGCCGCCCGCCGCCATCATCTCGGCTCGCCGGCGCCTGACAGGAGGCGGGAACCGCCGGGAACAGCGCGCTGCCCAATGGGAGCCCGCCTTGTTGGCGTGTGGCGGGCGGCGGTGCCGGGCGGGCCCGGCTGCGGGACGTAGGTGAGTGCGGCGGGCGGGCGGGCGGTGCGGGCCGGGCTCCGTCAGCCGGCATTGAAGGACGGAGAGCGGGCGGGAAGGGGGTCCTGGTCGCTCCGCCCGGCTGTGTTCGGTCGCCTCAGGCGTCGGCGGGGCGGCCTGACCTCTGTGTGTGTGTGAGAACGGGTGGAAGCCCGCCGGGCTGCAACGTTTCCTCCGCTGCTTTGTGCAAAGAAATTAAAGTGTTTGCTGCCTTGTGGAAAGCTGCCCGTATGGTTATTCTGTCAGTCTGCAGGCCCTGTTGTGGCCGTGTGACAGCAGTGGGTCTTGCAAATGTTTGTATCTGCTGCCAAGTGGAATTGTACACAATGTCCAGCTTAGTTTGTTACGAGTGGCAAGAAGCAAACGTAGCTGTGAAACGTTGTTCTGTGCGAACCTGCAGCAGTGCTCACAACCCTTCACCCCGTTCATAGCAATACATTTCCTCTTGCTGCTGCAGTGAAACACGTTTCTTGTTTTTAAACAAGGTGCACTAATGCAGCTCAATTTAAGTTTCAGAGTATGTATGAATGTTCCCGTAGTGCAGAACCCTCTCTTCTTCCATCTCTTTCTGTGACTGGTAGTTGTTCTGTTGCTTTTTCTCATCTCATTGCCCCACAGGGCAATTAAAAGTAGAGGCTAAATAATTGTCAGGCTGAGAACCTGAGTTCTGTAAGCACTTTGTGACTTACCTGTGCTGTGCTCATACCATGTGTGGAATTTCTTGCATTAACTTTAGCCAAAGATACTGGAAATCTCACTATTTCCTGAGTCATAGGCCAGAGTTGCTAAAAGAGAAAGTCTTGTTTCTTTCTTTTCCTCTGCTTCCACTGATTGAGTCCAGCACACTTTGGTGCTTGTCAGATCCTTTCCAGAGCTGACTGATCTCATTCGTCTGCCTTGCAGCTACCTATCAGCCTTCAAAAGTCAACTTTGTGCTATGCTGCTGAGTATATGCAATAGGAAAAAGGTATTGACACAGCAGGGAGAGGGGCATCGAACCTTCTTTCCTACCTATGAAACGTTGATTCAGCTCACGCTTGTGAACCTCGGTTATTTCAAGATTTTCTGTATTTTAACATGAAGGGATACATTTTGTGAGCTAATATCCTCTCAAATGCAGAGAAAAAGTCTTAATGTTGTACCTTACACTGACTGTTTCAGATTTTACTACAAAATTGTGGAGAAGTAGGAATAATTTTTTGACACAAGAACTGAGTTTCAGAAATTATTGCAGTAGTTCTATTTGTGCTGTTGGCTTCTCCTCTGTCAAGGTATGTTTGCAATTGATCTGCAAGCATGTTTGCAGTTCTTCTCTAAAGTTGTAATTTGCAGATCTGGGGAAAGTGCCAGTGTGCTCAGAACAGCAGCACTTGTTCAAGTAAGTTTTAGAAGTGCTTGGTGTGAGGAAAGCACCTGCTGCTGTATGGCAAAGCGGCTTCCCTCCCAGCTCAGGAATGTGTCGCATTAGGCCTGGTTCCAGCAGTATCGCACCAAACCAGATTAGTGCTGAGTCAGCTGACCAGGCAGGGCTGCAGTCACGTGACCCCATGCCCCACAGGGTCCTGCTGGGGCCTGAAACAAGGTAGTTTGCTTCTGGGATGTTCTTAAGTACCTAACAGCATGGGTCGTGGATTACGGCTGCAAAGAAGATGCCTTCATTTTCCCTGATCTTTGAACTGGTTAGAATGGGAAAAGTTTGAAAGTGCGGGCTCTTCAGGCCCTGAGCCAACAACTGGAAAGAATGTTTAATCCTGGAAGTTCCGACACTGAAAGGCTGGGCTTTTCTGAAGAGTGAAAAAAGCTTAAAAACGACTTATCCAATCGTTCCGTGGAAAGCATGAGGATTAGTGTGAGAGTTTGAGACATACCAATTGTGTGATATTACATACGATGCGATGCGGTTTTCTTCAGAAAGCCTTTGGATGTTACCTAAACGCTGCTGCGTGTTTTTAATACTGAACAATCGTGATGAGAATCTGAACCTGTGTCAAAAGAGGATGTCTTTTAAACTGGAAGTGCATACATTAGGGCACGTGAGTTGATGTGGTGCGTTTGATGCTGTGCCTCAGTGCTGAGAACAACGGCTGAGTAAATCTAGGTTGTAAAAACACTATTACTGAGATGACCACTGTAATGTCAACTCACGCCTTACCTGAAAGTAATGCAGAGAGCTGCTATAGCATGTTTTCCTAATGCTGGTATTGTATTTAAGGTTTAAGAACTGGCATATTGTGGATTTCAGAAGGGCGTTGTTTTCCTCTTCAAGGGGCATTATTCCAAATAATCCTGCTAGTTCTATGAATACTCTGCAGTACCAGCAGATATTGGAATATGGGCAAAGTTTAGCCCACACCTATATGGAGGATTCCATAGAAGATGCACTTTTCTGGTTTAGCTTTTTTTTTCCCCCATTGTCCTTGCAATACTGCAAAACCCGAATCCTGCAGAGTGCTTTGGCAAAGCTTGAGATCCGCCCCAATTCCGTTCAGAATTCCTTTCAGAACCAGTCTCATTCAGAATTCCATACAGAATTCCTCTGAAATTGTGCTTCTCTCCATTTGCTGAAATGTTTTTAAAGGTATTTTTGCAGTGGAGAATTTTCCCTCCCTTCTGCTGTTACCCCAAACCTAACAGCGCTCTTTCAAAGCTTTCAAGCTACTTCTGCAGTAGTTTCTGGGTTTAAAAGTTACAAAATCTGGATCGTAAGTCTTAGTTGTTGTGTGAGGAAAAAAGGAATATGGCCTGATTTTGCTGAGAGTGATATGAGTCAGAATTTGGTGGAGTTCCATTTAGATTCACGTCGTTGTGACTGTCCTTGTGTGGTGAACCAACACGTTGCTGTGAAATAGAATTCTCTCAAATTGTGTAACTGCTGTGAGCAGAGATAGAAGCCTTGCTTGGTTTTCAAAAGACTGGTGCCTGCCTGTTACAGTTCAGCCTAGTTCTGTGACAAAGGAGAGAAAGTTCTGTGACAAAGGGACCCTTTAGGTTGTTTAGACTAGTAAATAATTATACCATTAGGAACTAGGTGAAGAAAATAGGTGTTTTTGACTTTAGAAGACAAAAATGAAAACTGAGATTATCCAAAGTGAGTTATAAAGTTACATAAAGCATAAGCTCGCAGTCCAGCAAAGCTCACTTCAAGTACCAACAGCCAGACCCTCTACTGAGTGCTGAAGTTACATTGTTCCAAATCTGGAATAATGTGATGAAGAAAGTGGAAAACATTGGACATCTGGCTTCTTTGTAGCCAAGCCTTTCTTCAGCGAGCTTCCATTATTCTTTATCTCAATAGATTCTACTGCATCTACCTCCCGTTAGGAGGCTGCCGGTTCCATGCCAAAGCTGCAGCTTTTGCCAGAATCCCATCTCAGGAGCAGAGACAGCTACACAAGATACTTCTGTTCAGCATTTGCAAATCACAAAGGTCACCTGCTCATGTCTAACTCAGCAATGCGCTGCCTTGGGTCAGATATGGCCGGACAGCTAACAGTACTGTAACTGCTGCAGCATTCCTGCAACCATAGAATAACTGTTGGAATGAAGATATGAAATAATACATAGTGCTGTGTTGTAAATGGGAAGGATTAAAGACTGTGGTTGCTAGTGTAGAAGTATGCTTCTCTAGTCATTTCAAAGATCTTCTGTGTTTTTGTGTTAAAAATGTGTTTCTGTTGTTTCATTGCAACGGGCTCTCTGGGAGGAAACAACACCTGAGCTTTTAGTGTTAAACCTTACAGCACTTGTCTATCGGATCTCTCAGTTCCCATCTTTTCATTCTCCGTGAGAATTAGAGCTGTCTCTGTGTCCCATGTCAAAGGAAGGACTGTAACTGAGCATCCTTTAAATTTTTATCCTTTACATTTTTATGTTTCTGCCAGAGCCGTCGCACACTTCTTGAGCTGCATGTTTCCACCATCTCTCTTCATCAGCTGTGCTTGCTTTCATCCAAGAAATGTGAAGCAGCTTTTGGCCTTGATATTTTTATGCTCTTGCTTTTTTTTTTCCTACTGAATTTTTAGCATTTCTGGTATAAAAGATCTAAAATGCACAACTGCTGGAAGATTTGCAGTCATCTTAGCATACATGCAGCACTGTGAAAGGAGCTGTGGGAGCAGACACTGGCTTTCCTTTTGGAAGCGCAGTGTTACGAAGGATAAGCCAAACTGTGTGCTTTTGGAACAACCCTCATGAGTAAGCTTAGATGGAATAAAATCTGTTTGCTTCGTAGAAACTTAGAAATGGTTTTTAAGAAGTCTTCAGGCGAGGAGATGCTTGACCATCTCTGTGCTGCTTCCCATTTCGCAAATATTCGCGTCCCCATTTGAAATGAGGATTTCTCCTAGGTACCTGTGGCAAAATGAGCCATATGGGCCTTTTTTGGTCATCTCTCTGCTGCCTGTGGCAGTGCAGTTGGTGGGCCTGGAGCATGCTCAGCGTCGTGCGGGCGCTCGGTACCTTGGCTTAGAACCATCCACTGCGTTTGAGGAAGGAGCCTCTGCTCATTTGATTTCCTTATCGTTGTGTCAGCTGTGCCTTTACTTTAAACCTTCGAATTAAATAGTAGTTTATGCTGGCTTTTTATTTTAGTTCATGCATTTTAAACCCAGAACTCAGATAAAAAGATAGTTCCAGAATAAATCCAGTATATTATTTATGAGTGGAGCAACACATTAGCATTGAGTTCACAGTAGATCATATCGCTTTTATTCCGTCTTACAAGCTTAGCAGCACAAACAGAATAATCAACATATTATTTGGCTGTCATCTGCTGAACAGAAACCAGAGATCACAAGGAGGTTTTCCCTAGCTGCAGTGATGGCCTTTTTGTTCCAAGCCCCCATCTGGGAGGGCCATGGTGTGTTATCATATGGAACGCGGGGTTTTCTGTAATCTGCTTAGCTGCACTGCAGTTTGAATCTTCATTCCATGTTTGTGTAATTTATAATTTTAATGAGACCACGGCTCTTGTGGGCTTTGAA